TTGGACTTAGTTGAGGGAACTCTGTTACCAAACAAAAGCCATGGTGTGTACTTGACAGATGTATTTCAAATGTGAAGAGAAAGTGGTAACTGTTCTTGTGAAGAGTTCAAGAGGGCTGTGATTGGCATGTGTCTAGGCAAGTGTGGACTTTCAGTACTTTTTTAAATGACAGAACATGTAGCAACTTTGAAAAAAATACTTTGCCTAATTAAAGTACCATTACCATCTAATTGATTCTTTTTGCTAGGCTTGGTTTTCAGAGAAATTAAAGGAGTCAAAGAAGAGAAAAGCAGTGTTTGCAGATGTTCAGAGCTGCCCAAGCTAGTTAAAGAGATTAAATATAAAGACCTGAGTGTATTCCTGAAGGAAGACGTTTCCATTGAGATACTTGTAAAAAGAAAACCTTTAAAGTTATAGGGCAGAGGCTAAGCATGTGGCCCAGTTGTTCGAGTGCTCTCCCCTGGCCCGAATGGGGCTGGGGTGTCATCTGCCACACTTCATCAGCTGCGCAAGTGGTGCAGGCATGCAGTCCCAAAACTCAGGAGGTGGAGGCAAGGGTTCGGACGCTGCAGATCACACAGGGAGGTCAGGGCCAGCCTGGGCTACATGCTACCCTACTCAAAAACTTTCCCAAAGTGCAATTTCAACTCAGGATGCCACAATTGCTTATTTATCAGTGAAATTTTCAGTACCACAAAAGATCCAGTAAGTACAATACAGAGGCAGAACATTGGGAGAGGGAAATATTGTCAGTTTCACTTTTTCGACAGTGGGTTACAAAGTCTAGTAGTCAAAACCTTTCAAGAGAACTACCAAGCACAAATGGCACAGACTACACTATATCCATTGCCTCAGGTGTTCTTGTTTCCCAGATCCCCTGGGTTTATTGTTACCTCTTAAGGCAAAGCTCCCGAGTGCCAGCTTTCTCTGTCACTTTGTAAGCTATTTCCCAGAGAGGAGGAGAAGATACTGTGCAGCTAGTGTCACAGTGCAGAGGGAGATGGAGAAAGTGCCAGTACTTCCACTCCCCTTCCTTCCCTCCTGTATTCTTCCTACTGCAGGCCTTACTTCCCTTTGTTCAGCAACTTCCTGTGGGCTGGAGAACTGCCTGAGCTTCCCTGTGAGACTTGGGGCGGCTCGGTTGGTTTTTTGCTGTGCTGCTGAAGCTTCACCTCTAGCTCGAGCATTCAGTTGAAAGCTTTACCTCAGCGACAGTTAGTTGTTTTATTTTTATTGGGGCGGGGAGGTGCCAATCTAAAGCAAAATTTAAATGGAAAATTATGCAAAAAGAGGATGGACATCAGAAGAAGGAGAAAACAGGGAACAAGTCAGGAGCCTGACACAGAGGACTCTGAAAGGCTCTGTCCTGCAGACTATCAAAGCAGATGCTGAGACTTATGGCCAACCTTTGGGCAGAGTGCAGGGAACCTTATGAAGGAAGTGGGAAACAGTAAGATCTGGAAGGACAGGAGCTCCACAAGCAGAACAACAGAACCAAAAATCTGAGCACAGGGGTCTTTCCTAAGACTGATACTGCAACCAAGGACCATGCATGCAGATAACCTAGAACCCCTACACATATGTAGCCCATGATAGTTCAGTGTCCAAGTGGGTTCCATAGTAATGAGAACAGGGACTGCCCCTGACATGAACGGATTGGCCTGCTCTTTAATTACCTTCCCCTGAGGGGAGAGCAGCCTTACCAGGCCACAAAGAAGACAATGCAGCCACTCCTGATAAGACCTAATTGACTAGGATCAGGAAGGAAGGAAAAGAAGACCTCTCCTATCAGTGGACTTGGGGAGGGGCATGCATGCAGAGGGTGGAGGAAGGGAGGGATTGGGACGGGAGGAGGGAAGGAACCACAGGGGGGATACAAAGTGAATAAAGTATAATTAATAAAGAATTATTAAAAAAAAAAGGAAGGAAGAAAAAGAAAAGACTGTAGTGTATAAGCAATAGTGCACATTGAACCCAAATGAGATGCCATTTTCTTGCATGTTGGTTTGACAAAAGTGAAAAGACAAACATGCCTGTTGATGGAATTGAGCAAATCACTGTCGGGTGAAGGTGGAGCCCGAGTGGCTTTATGCTTCATGGAGACTGGGGTGGCGGTGTTGAGAAGATTGAATCAGCAATCTTCTGCATGCATCAGGTCACGTGGGCATGCATGCTCTTTTATAATAGAGAATTAGTGGGCAAATCAAGTGGCCATTTAAAAAGGGAAGGACTTGAAAGAGGAATGGCACACTCATTTTATAAGATATCATCAGGTCATCAGAAAGAAAAAGTTAAACTAAGTGAATCCTAGGAAGATAGCTCTGACATTTTTTTAGGGAAAAAATACTCGTTAACTTATTTTTATACAACCTAACTAAAACAAAACAAAACAAAAAAACCGAAACACTAAATGTATATTTCCCACTGTGTATGTTTACAAAAATGTTTACATTTTAAAACAAGGTATTCAAGAACACACCAAATAGCCTAAGTCTGTTTGATTTAAAAGTAAGATTGAATGTGCAGACAGTTTCTTACTTTCCCAGTACGCCTCTTGTATGCTTGGTGTACTATAGTATGCATTAAAATTAATGGGTGATAAGTAGACAGTAGCATGGAAAAAATAAGAGAATAGATTTTTTTTTCCAAAATAATTTAAAAATATATGTAATCTAAGTTTTAGTGGTCAGTCCTAAGGAAATAATTTTTTTTTTTTTTTTATGAGTAGAAATATATTGGCCACATACAAAATTCCGAGTGGTCAGTGTCTATCATGCCTTGAGTGGACATGTTTGCTGATGTAACAAACATACCTTCTGAACATTACAGCATCCCATGAATTCATTAAAAAAAAAAAAAGAATGAAACTGATGAGTAAGACATGACTACCAATTTTTTAGTATTAAAAAAGCATCAAGGGCTGGAGAGATAGCTCAGCCATTAAAAGGCTAGCTAGACTCACAACCAAAAAAAGCATCACCAGTTAGTTTTCACATTGTTTTATTATAGGTATTCTTATTAAGCTGTATAAAACAGTATTATAGGTGTACTTTTAATAATACTTATATCAAAGAAATGATATCACAAAGGCACCTTTAAATATTTATCTCTGGTGTACTTAGAATAGTGTGTGGTTTCTATGATTAAAAAATACGTACATACATAAATAAAAGAGTAATCTATGTATATACTTTTGTATGTACATATGTATACACTTTATACACTATTTCCCCCAAATTTTCTCTGCCTGTTTTTATTATTAATGGAAGAAAATATTTTTAAAAATTAGTTTACTTGTACAATGTACTGGTAGTTTTCTATTTTGTATGCTTGTCTTAAATCCTGCATGAAATGCTGCATCAAATTGTTTTATTGTATGCCTTGCCTTTTTCCAAGAGGAAGAAAGGCCTTTTTGCCTAGACCAGTGAACCACTGCAGTATATTTAGCATGAACTGAATAAACTTGCCCACTGATTAGTTGTGTTTTCAGCAGCGATGTTTCTTGTCTGTGTTGGAGGCGCTGGAGAGACTTCTCTTGTGGGAGGCCTCCTGCTGTCAGCCATCACAGACACTGCCTGTCAGTTCCTCTTGGGGAAGCTGTATTTCTTTTCAACTTTATCTGTTACGTTTTGAGTTGAACTCTTCAGAAATGAGAAGTAGCTATGGGGCCATGCCTTGAAGGATCCACGATGTGAGTTTAAACTGCCAACTTCAGTAATGTTTTTTCCAAGAAAAACATTTTAAAATTTCTTACAGGGGCTGTGACAGAAAAACAGAACCTTAGAAGCCAGTGTGTTCTGTCATACCACCCTAGTTTACCTTTTGTGGCATCTGTCGCAAAATAATGCACTACTTCAACCTAAAAAATGATATAATTTACATGAACTCAGTAAGCATCTACTAGCAAGAAAGGAATTTCCACGTCTGTCCTCCCATCCTGCTCCATAAGTCATCAGGGAACAATTCTGGATGCTTCCAACTGTTGTGAAAAGCTTTATTGTTCTGCTGGAAGCCCGATGAAAGCGCTGCTTGATTCCATGCTGCTCCTTCCCTCGAGCCCTGCAGTTCACCTTTGAGGGTATGTGGGTGTTTGCATTTGAGAAAGTTAAGGAGCTCAACCCCTGGCCAGGCCTTAGAAACACCTAACGGTTGGTGTTTCCAGGCCATGGCCACCTGCATCGGTGCTCAGGAGAGAGTTGTTGTCCCACAGGGTGCGCTGCGTAGAAACCACTGTCTCCAGTGCAGTTGCTGTCCGTGCTCATCTCCTCAGCTCAGGGTGGCTCCCACACACTGGCAGACATTTGTTGAGGACTCACTGTGTCAGCGAACTGTGCCATGGTTCTAGAGATACAAGACTGAGCAGGAGCAGTCCCAGGACGCTTATTGTAAGGGAAAGTGAATTGCTCATCTTAACAGCAGACAACAAATATCTAACATTATCTCTCAGTGGAGAATTACCACCCATTTGCTCTTTTGCTCACTGCAAAAGTCTTTCAGTGAGATTTTGAATCCAGTTAGGATTGACATTGACCAGAATTCCTTCTCAGAACACCATCTTATAAAAGCCAACTTGAGAGTTGTGTGGTAACATTTCTGATCTTATGTTGGATCAGAGTTTGGGTTACTGTTGGGAGAGAGACACACATGCCAAGTTCATTGACAAACCACTAATGTTATATGTAATTCTGTTATGCAGTCTGTTTTTACCAAGGCATAATTGTTCACTAAAAACTCTACTCCTGGTTGGGGGCTGGAAGATGACCATGGTTAAGAGCACTGGCTGCTCTTCCAGAGGACCCAGGTTCAATTCCCAGCAGCCACCTGACAGCAAACAGCCATCTGTAACTCTAGTTCCAGAGCTCCTGACTCCCTCTTCTGGCCTTCGTGGGCACTGCATGCATGTGGTGCACAGACAGACATGCAGCCAGAACACCCACACACATAAATAAAAGTCTCAAGGAAAACTTCTTTTTGCTTAATGTTTGTCTTTTGTCTTGTAGGAGTTTATCTTGTCTGAAGATTATAACAAGATGACACCTGTGAAAAACTATCAAGGTAGGAATCGCAGCAGAGTTGTTTGCGTGCCTTCAAACTATTTCTTGGTAGATTTCTCCTCACCAAGAACACTTACATTACATGGGGGAGTGAAAGGAGAAAGCCTGTGAGGCCAGTATTTTCCCAGTTTGTGAACTAAGCTGTTGAGGACAGAAGAATCCAGGTAACTTGTAAGCCTGGTTACTCGGAGGTCAAGTACCAAACCAGACTAGGTCAGGGCAACTCCAAGTGCACAGCTTTCTACACCATGCTTCCCGGGAACGGCTCAGGAGGAGTTGAGTCAGCCTCAGGTTGTTTCAGATGAGCTTCATTTCATGTTTGATGAACTGGCGTGCTGGGGGAGGGGTGTTTCAGCTTCTATTTGTGTCGTTAACATTGGCTTATTGGCCAAACTCATTCTGTCAAGCAGGAGAAGTGTCGAGAGGGGGACATTTATTCAGACCAACAGTGTTATCAGGGCATTAAGTCCACATACCTTGACCTCATTCATTCTTGGTGGCCGCTCAGCATCTCATCCATGATCGCCACTATGCTATCACGAGTTTGGCAGGTTCTAGGCATTTCATTCTTTAAGATTTGGAGCTAAAGGGGCTGGAGAGATGGCTCAGTGGTTAAGAGCACTGTCTGCTCTTCCAAAGGACCTGGGTTCAATTCCTAGCACCCACATGGCAGCTCCTAACTGTCTGTAACCCCAATTCCAAGGGATCTGACACCATCACACTAATGCACATAAAATAAAATTAAATATAAAAAAAAGATTCGGAGCTAAATTTATTTCCCTGTGGTTTTTTCCCCCCATTTTTTATTTTGCATCGTTAATCAAATATTTATTGAGTACCTACTGTGTTAGCTCAGGAGTCTAATAATGAGCAAATATATAGTGTCTGTCTATAAGCAGCTTATGTGAGGGGTTTTAGAATGTGCCCTTCCAGTTTTTGCTTGGAACCACAAAAACTGAGTAGCAGCTCTCTTCACATGCCAGCCTTTAAAGTTATTTTAAATAGCGATGGAAGGTCATAGTCTGTCCTTTCGCCTTCACTCATCTTCTTTCACTTCTCTAACATAAGCATTTTATGCTCAACTGTCTTTTATGATCTGAGCAGTTGTTCTGTAAAAACATGTTTGGTTGTCTTGCTTACAAATTCGAGGTATCCTGTTGTACCATTTTCAAATATGACCTGGTTATATAGCATATAACTTTTAGCATGGTTCTTAATGATCATTCTCTCCCCACCTCCATAAGTGTGAGCTAGAATTAGAACATGGTAAGTGATGGATATCACTTCCAAGATTATGTGCATACTGGGGCATGCATGGCACTCACCTCTCTGCTTGCAAGTGTGCACATCTGATGATGTGTGCGGTGGAGCCAGCAAACATCTCATGAGCAGTCAGGGAGGGACTAATTCTCCCAGCTCAGCAGCCAACAAAGAACGGAACCAGCCAACAGCTATGTGAGAGATCAGGAACTAGCCCTCCGTCTGTTAAGCTTTCAGATGGGACCCCCACATGGTGATTTCCTCCTAGGAAAAGCATTATGGCTGGAGCATCCAGTCAAGCCGTTCGAGGATTTTCGACCCACAGAAACCCTGAGATGATAAAATCCTTTGAGGCATCAACTTTGGGATAATTTGTTACACAGTAGTAGATGACTAGTACATGCGTGTAGTCTGCTGGGTAAATCCTGCTTCTCTCCCCTCCTGGGCGCTGCTGTAATAATACAGAGGTGAGTGCTGGCAGCCGTTTCACACCGTGAGTCACATGGGGAAGGGCACACGGCAGCGTTCTCCCTGCATGTTTTTAGGCTGTCTCTCCTGATTTGGAACTAATACTTCCAATCTGTTACTTATCATGTCATTTTGTTGCCTGTCAGCTCAACTTACCAAGATATTTTTGAAATTCCAGTTGTCATTACATATATTAACTCCCTTTTAGTTTTGTGTTCCTTTTTCTTGAATCTCTGCTAAATGTGCTGAAGAACCAGCCAGATGCACATCTGAAGAGTTTATTGCTAGGGTCTGTTTTTCTCATGCTCTAACATGGTAGATTTTCTAGCATAGTCTACTCCACATGCTTTCTGTCAGATAATTACAAAACCTCAATAACCAGACTCTTGTGGATACTTTCTTCACAAACACCTAGAGCTGATGGTAAAATAATGTATTTTTATTATTTCCTTTAAGGCAGTGTTAAAAGAATACCCATTTTCCAGAGCCAAGAAAAAAAAAAACTAAATCTCAGAGTGTTATGCAAATGCACTGACTTTGCAGGTGCTCTGGGAAGAGAGAGCCAGGAATAACTAGCTGCTTGTGTATGACAATGCCCTTAGCAGCAAGTGATACAGCCTGGAGCACAAGTAAGATGAAAACCTGGAACTGAGATTTCCAGAGAAAGTCCACAAAGGATTATATCCTCATGAAAAGGAACAGATGGAAATCCTCCACTCATTGGCCCAGGAGACAACAGGGGAATTTATTCTGATCTCAGCTCTATAGATGAGAAAAATCTCCTATAATAAATCAAAACCTCTCTGAAAATTCTTGGATATGAAATATAAATATAAAACAATTATATACCTCCAAAAGCTCTATATTTGGAAAATGATTATGAAAAATAGTTGTTTCTCGGTGACATTGCAAAGCACCATCAGAAATAAACACAGACCTCTTTAAGACAAGCTGCATACGTGTTCCTAGAGCAAAACAAGAATGGTTGGTCCAAGCTGTAGTCAGTGGCAGAGCCTTGGAATTGAGCTCCAGCACTACAGAACAGTCAAGCAAAAGGGATGCATAAGATTAACCTTTACTTTTAAAAAGTATTACCAGAGTAAATGAAGCCGTCATGAATAAATGTTAGCAGAGGTCACAAATAGAAAAAGTAGAATGCCAACAGCTTTGGAACATGTTCTGAAAGTGATTATAACATTTTAAATTAAAAAAAAATAAACAAAGTAAGGCTGAGTGTGGTGGCACATGCTTACTGTCTCAGTCTGGGTTGTATCCTACAAATGCTGGTACCTTGTTTCCATTTTACTTCATTTTATCTTAAATTGGGTGATGAATATAGACCCCTTGGGAATCCTAGAATATTTGGAAGTTAAATTATAAATTTTTAAATAATCCATGTGTTAAAGAAATAATAAAGCATTTTGAACCGAATAAAATGAAAACAAACAAGGATACCAGTATTTATAGGATATAACCACATTCTGAACTGACTAAAATAAAAACAAGGATGCCAGTATTTATAGGATAGAGCCACAGCAGCTAAGGAGACTGGCGGCTCAAACACTGACATCATAAAGGAAACGAGGTCTCAGATCACTGACTGTGGTTTAAAAAAAAAAAGAAAGAAAGAAACCTACCCAGAGGGAAGGGAAGAGAAATTATTACAGGAGTTCATGACATATAGAACAGATAGTACAGAGAAAGCAGTGATATCAAAGGCTATTTTTTGAGATTAAAAAAAGTGATAAACTTCTAACTAGACTAGCAAGGGAGGAATTATGTATGTGAGGAAGGAATGGACTGGCGCTCTCACAGAAGCACCCTCTGTGTGTGCACAGGGTGGTAATGGATACCTTGAACACTATGAACTGACAGCGCATCCAGATGCTCCATGTGTGGATACTATGTTGATATGTGTTGGCATATCATGAACTCACAGGTTGAAAGTCACAGAACTGCAGAACACTCGGGAAGAAATAGTTGATTCTGATAGCTCTGTATGTGTAAAAAGAAGTTGACTTTTTAGTTTAAAACCTTCTAAAGAAAACTTGTATTAGGGTTCTCTAGGGGAGTGAAATTGAGAGAATGAATCCATATATATATAGAGGGGGTGTCCAGCTTATTCGACAATGGCTGTCTAGCGACAGAAGGTCCAAGCATCCAGTAGTTGTTCAGTCTGTGGTGCTGGATGTCTCTGCTGGTCTTCAGTATAAAGTGGAATCCTGAAGAAGTCGGCTCTATAGGCAGTAAGGAGTGGACTTGCTAGCAAGAGGGAAAGCATGCAGGCAAAGAGAACAAGTTTTCTTCTTCCGTTCCTTTTATATTCCCAGACCAGATGGTTTTACTGGTTATATTTTATGAAACATTAAAGGAAGAAAATATGTGAGACCATAGGAACTCTTTTGGAAATTGAGGAATGAAAGACTTCCCAGCCCATTGTAAGAAATCAGTATCTCCTGATACTAATGCTATGCAAAATCAATATGAGAAAACTAGGATGCCATTCTCTGTTCAGACAGATGCTACAAACCTAAGTTTCACCACATCCAGCAATATGTACAAAAGAATACATTATGGTCTGGTGAGGTTTATCTCAGGAATGTAGTATTGGATTCACGTTAAAAACAAAATGGCAACCAGGCATAGTGATGGACACCTTTAAACCCAGCACTCAGGAAATAGGCAGATCTTTCTGAGTTCTAGGCCAGCCTGATCTACATAGAAAGTTCTAGGACAACCAGGGCTACATAGAGAGACACTGCCTCAATATACAAACAAACCACAAAAACTCAATGCTGTGTTTCCCCAAACATGGGAAGTAATGGCTCAAATAGTTATGTGCCCATGTTCATGGCAGTGTAAGCACAGAATGCACATTGTGACTTGAATGGACAGACATAATGCAGTATATACATCTAAAGGCACATCACACAACCTTCAGAAGGAAGTCACTTCAGCATTGTGGATGCCCATCATAAAAGAACAAGTTTTGAAGGAGTCCACGTACCTGTGGTACTTACTACAGTCAAATTTGTAGAGACAGTTACCATAGGCTGGGGAGGAAAGTAAGTTGTGACTTAGTGTTTAATAGGATTTACGTTTGAAAGATGTACAATTTCTAGAGAGGTGACCACTATCAAGCCTTAATGTGAATGTACTTAATTCTACAGCATGTATATTTAAAAGTGATTAAGATGGTAAATTATATGTCAAAATTTCTGCAAAAAATTTAGAGAGATTTTAGGTATAAGTTGCTGGATGAACTATCTGAATTGTTGAATATGTTGGTAAATATTAATGTCTAATATTTAGAAAAATCAGTCCTGGATTAATGACACACCTAAGGCAGGAGGATTGTGAGTTCAAGGTCATATATAGGGAGAACCTGTCTCAAAAAAATATAACAAAAATCAAATAAACCAGCTTTGAAAGAAATAGGATATACTAGAGTTGCTGATGAGAATATGACATGACATTGACTCTTTGAAGAACATTTCATCAATTTTTCAAAGAATTAAAAAAATACCTTATGACATAGCATTAGAATTGAAAAAATATATTCACACAGAATGTGTGAATAAATATACTTAGAAAAGTGTTTATAATAGCCAAGAGAGGGAAATAATCCTGACCTCTTATCAGTGAAAGAGGAAGAGGAAGATGAGAGAGAGAAAGAAAGAGAGAAAGTAAAGTAATGGAATGCTGATAATCCATGCTGTAACATGTTAACATGTGAATTTGAAAACATTATGCTAATAGAGAAGCCAGACACAAAGGCCACATCATAAGATCACATTTATGTGAAATGTCAAGAATAGGTGACTCAATAGAGGTGGAAAGTAGATTGACCGAAGTTAAGGGAGGGAACGTTTGATTGTTTGGGAGGGAGGGAAATACTTTGGAATGGATGGTGATGATGCTCATGTAGCACGAATATGCTATCAGCCAATGAGCTATTACACTCTAAAAAGGTCAGAAGTGTGGTGAGTTTTAGCTCAATAAATTCAACTTTTTAAAACCAACCAGTGGTACTTGATACCAGTATCAAAGCTGTTAATTCCTTCGGATGCTAACAAGAAGGGACAAGTGTAGACAGTCTGTAATCTCCCCCAACACTTAGTAGGACAAATGCAGTGACACACAAATGAGTCTACAGTGTGGCCCAGTGTGAGCTAGTGCAGCTCTGCAGAGCTGTTCAACCGGAAACCAACATAGTCCATCCCATCAACAAGCTGAAGAAGAACCCTGTCATATATGTCGATGGGAAAGGGCTGGGGATGCAGTTCAACTGTAGACAGCTTTCCCGGCCTGTGCAGGCTCTTTTCTATCCCTAACACCGCTGCTAGGATTTGGTGAAATCATGGTTACAACTCAGAAATCCTGGAAAGAGAAAAGCACTTCAGTATGGCAAGGAACTGCCTGCACGACGTTGAGAAAACCTGTCTCCTGCTAGCCTAGGATGCCTCCCACCCTAGGCCCTATTTGGGAAGCCAGGCATCAAGCCCGTGTTTACTTACAAGTTTCTAAAGCTCGGTGATAAGACTCTGCCTTCAAGAATTTCGGATGCAGAAACTGTGGTACATCTATACAATGGAGTATTACTCAGCAATGAAAAATAAGGAAATCATGAAATTTGCAGGTAAATGGTGGGACCTGGAAAGGATCATCCTGAGTGAGTTGACCCAGAAGCAAAAAGACACTCACGGTATATACTCACTCATATAAACATACAATATAGAATAAACCCACTAAAAGCTGTACATCTAAACAAACTAAGCAAAAGAGAGGACCCTAACTAAAATGTTCAATCCCCATCCTGAAAGGCAAAGAGGATGGACATCAGAAGAAAACGAAAATAGGAAACAACCTCGGAACCCGCTACAGAGGGCCTCTGAAAGCCAGAAGAAAACAGGAAACAACCTTGAAACCTGCCACAGAGGGCCTCTGAAAGCTTCTGCAGTATAGACTGTCAAAGCAGATGCTGAGCCTGATGGCCAACTGATGGGCAGAGTGAATGGAATTTTATGTAAGAAGTGGGAAATAGTAAGAGCTGGAGGGAATGGGAACTCCACAAGCAGAGCAACAGAACAAGATAATTTGAACACAGGGAACTTCCCAGAGACTCATACTCCAACCAAGGACTATTTGTGGAGATGACCTGGAACCCCTGCACAGGTGTAGCCCATGGCAGTTCAGTGTCCAAGTGGGTTACATAGTAATGGGAAGAGGGACTGCCTCTGACATAATCTGATTGGCCTGCTCGTTGATCACTTCCCCCTGAGGGGGGAGCAGCCTTACCAGGCCACAGTAGAGGACAATGCAGCCACTTTTGATGAGAACTGATGGACTAAGATCAGAAAGAAGGAGAGGAGGACCTCCCCTATCAGTGGACTTGGGGAGTGGCATGCATGCAGAAAGGGGAGGGAGGGTGGGATCGGCAGGGGAGGAGGGAGGGGCTTATGGGGGGATACAAAATGAATAAAGTGTAATTAATAAAAAAAATAAAAGATTTAATAAAAAAAAAAAGAATTTTCTTCTGAGTAAGAGTTCTGTCACCAGGCTGGGTGCAGTGGTGCACACCTATAATCCCAGCACTCAGCGTGGCAGAGGCAGACAGATCTTTGTGAGTTCAAGGCCAGCCTGGTCAAAGCGAGTCCAGGACAGCCAAGGTTACATAGAGAAACCCTGTTTTGAAACCCCCCCCCAAAAAAAAAAACCAAAACAAAAACCAGTTCTGTCTCCTTAGAGTATGTGTTTTGAATTTTTGAGATTTTGTTTTGTTTTCCCACTGACAACCAAATACTAAGAGAACTGACTTTGCCATAGAAACCAAGGTTTGCTTTGCTGTTTATGGGGGCCGGTGGGGACGTGGGGAGGATGGATTCAGATATGCCACTTTCCGTCCCTGAATGTGTTTAACACTCTGCAATTGGCAGAGGGTTTTTCTGCAGCGGGGCTGCAGACAGCCACCCACACTGTCACCACTGCTTGGTAATCAAAGCGGAAAATCTACAGCTCACCGTCCTTGAGAGTTACTCCTGCTCCGCCAGACCACTAGCCAGGCTGCTGTGCCTTTGTTCGTTCTATTCCTTGTGTTTGTTGCCTGGCATCACATAGTAAGAAAGCCAAGCTCTTCCTGCCTGAGTTTATTAACTAACAGAAGCCACGAAGCCTTAGCCAAGCCACTCAGCTTCACTGCACCTCAGCTTGGCCAGCTGAGAAACAGAGAGAAGGCTAAAAGGTGTGAGTAGTCTCTCCTCTCTCTCTAAAGATGTGCAATGCAAAATTCTTCTAATGGGGTTGTGCTTATATTTGAGTAGCCATAGGAATTCACACCCTTTCTGTCATGTGTACCTACTTCTATATAATAGGCATTTCATTCTTATCTCAGTAACCCTTCCATTGCTATGCTAAAACACTGTGACCAAGTCAACTTATAAAATAAAGCATTTATTTGATCTTATTGTTCCAGAGGGAGAATCCATGGTGATAAAGCAGAGACATGGAGGCAGGAATGGCTGAGAGCTCACATCTTCATCCACAAGCAGGAAGCAGAGAGAGTCCATACTGGGAATGGCATGAGTCTTTTGAAACATCAAAGCCCACTCCCAGTGACACACCTCCTTTAACAAGGCCACACCTCTGAATCCTTCCCAAACAGTTCCACTGAACTAAAAACCAAGCATTCAAATATATGAGAGGCCATTCTCATATATATGAGAATATATGAGGCCATTCTCATTCAAACAACCATCATTCCCTTTATTCTCCAAGCATCTGGGTTCTGATAAGAAGCTGCCAGAAATTTTGTTATGAGTTTAAAAATTAGATTCACAAAAAAGATCAATACGCCTTTCCTCTGGGGGTGGAGGGTGCACATAAACTGACCACAACTGACTGTTGTAAAGGTCATTCGTAATGTGCCTTGTGGTCACACTGATCCCGTAACCCCAGCATGCTTGGCCAGGCTTTGGTATATGGAGCTCTCTGAGGCAGTAATACTTGGATGGACATAAGTAGGAGTGTGAGGAGCTCACTGAGAAGAGATGGATGATTTAAAAAAAAACAAAAACAAAACAAGTGTTCATAGGGCATCCTTACCCACCCCTGATGAGAGCTACTGTTTTTCCTGTCCCTAATGGCTTTGTCCTTCAGCCTCTTCTGGGATGGGGAGAAGAGAAGGATGTAACAGTAGGCTGCATTTTTCCATTTTCCTCAGGATGCTTTATCAGCCATTTTCTCATCTCTTGATTTTTCAGCACATCAGAGCAGAGTGACGATGGTCCTGTTCGTTCTGGAGCTGGAGTGGGTGCTGAGCACAGGACAGGACAAGCAGTTCGCCTGGCACTGCTCTGAGAGTGGTCAGCGCCTGGGAGGTTACCGCACCAGTGCTGTGGCCTCAGGCCTGCAGTATCCTTTGCTGGACAAAATCCTTTCTCTTTGACTCATGATAATTTGTGGTATGTATAACTTAGAGGTTTTCTGTGTTTTACTTACTGTTTTTTCCTTGTGTGCAAAAGATGCTCTAGAGACCTCAAGGCACATGTGTAATGTGTTTTCCATGTAAATGGAGTGGAGCGAGGCAACCTCATTAAAGTAACAGGCCTGCTGCCTGCTGTGACATTCTGACACCTAGAGAGGGCAAAGCCCGATGTGTGATCCTCAGCTGTCAGAAGGACTGACAGATGGACATACGACCATCAACAAAATACAACGTTTGGTTTTAATAGACAACTCATTTCCATTATAGGAAAACTCCCCTACTGTTACAAATATCCCATTGGTGCTTAGAGAGTGGGCCGTGAGATTCTTGTTCATTTAGAAATACTTTGGGGGCCAGTGGGATGAATTAGCAGGTGAAAATGCTTGCTGCACAAGCTTGGAACCTGAGTTCACAGAGGAAGGAAGCAGCCTTTGGAAGTTGTCCTCTTAGGTTCACATGCACCCTGTGGTACACACTAATAATAAATGAAAATTTAAGTATTTCCTGACAGGCTGCCATGCCAGCGCTCACAGTGAGCTAGCTGTCTCTAAATGGTATCCTACAAGCTTTGTTCCAGGCATGAGACTTTCTCAGAATCCCAAGTTGTCAGTCCGTGTAGTTGGGATGAGTGCCTGCTAACACCAGAGAAGTTCACTTCCTGCTGCCGGGGCTCTGAGAAGCATCAGGTGGTGTGTGAGATGTTTCTTCCATAGCAAGGAGGAAAGTTCTCTTGTATAAAAAGTGGAATCCTCCAGTTTTTCACGGGTGAAGGAGAACACAAAGCCGATGGCATCCACAAAATTGGGAACACTGGGGCCTGCTTTTGGTTTTATCACTGTATTTATCAAGTGTCCAGTCACTCGTCAATAAAATGACAGTATCTTGCAGTTTCCTTACTCCCATGTTGTGTGGCAGTGGGTGTGCTTATGTGCACACAGGCTAATGGTGCTGTTATCTTTTCACCGGAAGGGTAAGATGAAGGGATCCGAATGACCACAGGGGAAGGTTGTAAAGGAGAATTACCGAGAGGAGAGACAGAGTCGACAGGGAGAGGGAGCTTATCCTTGACAGGGCAGCACTGTGGGCACATAAAAGACGCTTCCTCATGCTTCCGATGGGCCAGCTGAAGCCTAGACAGGGCCACACTATTTAGTAAGAACAGGACTGCTGTTCCTGACAGCTCTTGCCTTGGGCTTCTGCTTCTCCCTTTGCTTCTCAATACCAGAAACAATAGCATGCTGTGACTTGTTCTGGCTGGCATCAGTATCACTGGCCACCGTCATGGTGTATCTTCCTTTTATCTTCTGTCTTCCTTAGCCAAACCAGGCAGCGTGAGCAAAGACTTTCCCTCAAGAAGATTTGAACTATCTGAGAATGAGAAGCAAAAATTACAACTAAACTTGCCTTGACCATAGTGACCTTTTTTAAAGGTTCCAAAAGTCACCTTCATCGTGTGAGTGTTTGTTTGTTTGTTTGTTTAATTTTTCGAGACAGGGTTTCACTGTGTAACCTTGGCTGTCCTGGAACTTACTCTGTAGACCAGGCTGCCCTCAAACTCAGAGTCAGAGACAGAGACCTTCCTGTCTCTACTTCCCTGAGTGCTGCAATTAAGGGCTTAACACCACCACCATCAGGCCCATTTTGTGACTGTTTACAAAGCACAGAATCATGTTACTGGTTACCAGTTGGTTATGTATGAGTGTGTGTTGACAGAGCCCCTTCTAGAAGATGTGTGCCCCACCAGATTTGTCTTTAATAGCTCCAGTTTTCCAACTATAGTGCCAGCTCTTACTCCTGAGTATCTTTGCAGTGCTAAACATCGGTGTCATGACAGCCCTGTGCCTTTGCCAAGCAGGGGTGGGGAGGGTGGAGGAGGGGTCTGAGCTAAGAACCATGTGACTTCTCCAAAGCCAGTGAGTCCCCTCCCACACACTCCCCTGAACTGGCTGGCAGATAGGTTATTAGGCAGACCCCTACACTCTCACGGTTCCCCCCCACCTGTTCACTCCCCTTCCTCCTGCCTCTCTCCACTCTTAGGAGGGGTGTGTGTGTGTGTGTGTGTCTGATTTTTAATGAAAGGAAAGGAATATGGCCTGATAAAGCATCATAAATGCAGAGTGAAATCATTACCTCTGCCTTGCAGCTGCTGGCACAGGGTGGCCTCCACAGATGACACAATGCTGTCCTGTCTCCACCTGCCATTTACTAGAGTTAACAAAGATGACTAGATCAGCTATATCAGACCACATTTAGATGCTCTCCTCTCCCAGGCCTCTCAGTAGAGAATAATAGTGACAGTAACCAAAAACTCAGTCCAGAAACCACAGAGACAAGGAGACTGACCAGCTGACTTGTTGAGCTATCTGTTACCAGACTTTTACGTTATTTACCGGAAGCTTCAGATATTGAGTGAGCAGTCATAGTAAGGTGGTAACGAGGCAGCGGAAAAGGAAAAAGACAGCCTGAGCTCAGCCGTCCCTCAGAACCCAGAGTGCTCCTCCACGCACTGTACCCTCTACTAGTAAAACAGTGTGCGCAGTTCCCTAGGTAGAAAGGCCAAGGGATTTGTCCTGGTGGAACAGGATGCTAGATAGGCTACTAAGATTTCTCAGCTAGACCTCTGCACGTCTGCGCAGTCCAGAGTGAGCTCCTTCCCAAAGCTCCATGGCAGGGCAGAGGAAGTGGAATTTTTTCTTTGTACTTTACTTGCTAGTCTTTAGTTCAGGAAATCTCTTACCCACCTTTCCCTGCCAGCATCTTATTATTTGAGCATGTTTTGACCAATTTTTAATGCTTCTACAAAATAACTTAAGGCTCTTCAAGAGTGAGTCATTGGAGATACTTGTAAAATGTCACCCTGTGCAGTGAGATGTCCTCCTACAAGTGTCATCTCTCAGGGTTATTCCCAGTCAGGTCACGAGTTCTGAAAGGTGGTTAAGATTGTTTTAATTAGTTTCTTTTGTTAGTTTCTTAGTTTATTTATGGCACATTCAATGATAATGTCAAGCACTCCAGTATCAGGTTGTACTGTCATTTTATTTCATCCCTTTTCTAAGTCTCTGTTGGGACCATGGTTTGTTTTGGGGTTTTGTTTTGGTGGTGGTTGTTGTTTGTTTTTTGTTTTTCAAGACAGGCTCTCTCTCTCTCTCTCCAGCCCTGCCTGTCCTGGAACTTGATCTCAGGCTGGCCTCAAACTCAGAGATCCCCCTGCCCCTGCTTCCTGAGTGGTGAGATTATAGGCATGCACTACCACCCCTAGAGAAAATACTTTATGCATTGCCCATAACTCACGTCCACTGTTGATTCTTCTGTCCCTTTTTGCCACAGTATTCTGAAGCGAATTCTAGACCTTAAAGTCATTTTATCAAAACATATTTCATCATGAACCTCTAAAACGAAATATTAATAATTAATAATCTTTCGTAGTGCTGAGTCTTCTATTCTCAGCTTACAGTGCTTGCTTTGCAGGCCACTTTTTAGAGTAGATTCATTTGAAATTGGGTGTAGACACACCGCACCTAGCCTCCACAGTGGGAGCAGTTCCCACTGTCTCCGGAAGCTCCTGAATTTGCTCTCCAGATAGCCCGAATTGTAAATTGACCCCTCCACTTCCACTGACATCACATTCTTTGTTCATCTTCCTGCCCCCTTAGTTCTGTGAACGCTCAGCCTGTTGCACGTCCTCAGAGTGATGGTTCTGTGTGCTTCACACTGTGGCTCACCCGAAGCCTGAGAACTGGGTTGTCATCTTCCGTTCAGTCTGAGCACAGTTCATGACTGAGACTGTGCAGCGGTTACAGTGAGCGGGCCTGTTGCCTTCCTTTGAGAACAGTCAGTGACTAGGCCCCGCCAACCTTCCTGTTACTGGCTCTATCCAGTGGCCACTCTTTGCCGAGTCCTCACCTTCCTGGGGGTTGCAAAGTGGTCGTGTTCTAGTCCTATCATCTTTTCCCCACATGTGCAAGTTGGAAGTATTTGAAAACTAAGGATTTTCCTTATTAACTAGTGCTACTTATTGACTCTTAGATATAATTATTGTAGAAAAACAGTATTCTCGATTCTTGTCATTTTAATTTTCATTTTGTGCTTTAGCGTTTATTTGAGACAGGCCTTAATACATAGCCCAGGCTGATTTGGAACTCTCCATTATAGCTCAGACCAGCCCAAATTTCCCTCCTCCTGCCTCAGTCTCCTGAGAATTGGGACTACAGACTTATGCCACCACACCTAGTCAGTTCTTTCTTTCTTGATTGCTAGTTTAGGTAGAGAGTTTAGTACCCTGTCATCCCTCAAAGCATCGTACTTTGTGTGTGTGTTTGTTTGGTTTTGCATTCTTAGACGTTCTTAGGGTTTTGTCGTTGTTTAGGTTTTAAAATGCAATATATTTAACATTTTAATAAATATTATTTCGAATATTAAAACTTCCTCATCTTTGGCTAGTAAGAATCATATACTAGATTCAGTGTGTCTGTCTGTGTCAGTGTCCATGTGTAGTACTGGTTATCCAACCCAGGGTTTCACAAATGATTACCAAGCACTATCACTGAGATATATTTCTAACTCTTCCCCATGTCACTTCAGAATTCTTATTTTCAGGGATATTTTATAGCAGTTTTAGATTAACAGAAAAAAATAAATATTGAGCTTTTCTGTAGTCCCCATTTATTACAATTACTAAAAGCCTATGTTGGCGTGTACAATTTGTCTCAGCCTGGTGGGCTTTAAAATCACTGCAGAAACAAATCTGTAATCGTTGTGAGGCTCTGTTCCCAGGGAGATGTAAACAATTATCTCCTCCTAGGAGATGTGAACAATTACCTCCTCACCCTAGGAAGGGAGCAAAAGAGAGCCCAAAATAAGGATACCCCCAGAGTTCAGCTTGGTGACCCAGTGAGTGTCGCTGTGTCAGAGACTATTTACAAGAACAGAAAGTACTCAGAGACAATGGCATGTCAAAATCCCATTCCACACAGACATCTCGTGAAAGCTGGAAACCTGGAGCACACTGCACAACTTGGAGGCAGCTCAGCAGGTCTGAGACTGTCTCAGGCAGTCTCTTCCAGGTGGCTCGTTGGTCTCTGCTTCGTTTAGGTGGCTTAGCTAGTTTCTCTTTCTTCCCGGTGGCTCAGATGGTCTGGACCTCTGTTAAGCAGGTCAGCTTGTCTGGAAGTATCTCTCACCAGTCCTTACAGTTTCTCTATGTTTGGGGATGGAGGGGTGAGTGAGTCTGGTCAGGCTCAGGGACTTGAGGTTCAAGGCCTTGTCAGCTGTTTACTTCCTGAATCTCAAGAGTTCACCTTTTTTACAGCATCTCTGTCTGAAGGAGTTTCCCTGCAAGGTGGAAGGTTTTCTCAGAGATTTCAAAATGGTTTCACCACAGCGAACCTGTGAGGGAGTCTAGATTAAGTTAATTGCCGGGAAAAGACACACCCTAAATGTGAGAGGTGCCATTCCATGGACTGCACACACAGAGAGACATACACAGTGAACAAAAAGGGGAAAGTAACTTGCACATTTGTTGCCATCTGCCTACTAACTGGCCGTGTAACCAGCTCCTCCTGCTCCTGTCACTGTGCTTTCCCTGACATTTTGTACTACATGCCCAGGAACTGAGGGTCAGAGCAAATCCTTCCTAAGTGGCTTTTGTCAGGTACTTTGTCACATGATGAGAAGAATAACTAACATAGTATGTCATCACCACCCAGAATCCCTAGCTCACTTCATGGTTCACTTTTGCTCTTGTACATTGTGTGGTGTGTGGATCAAAACAAATGTGCCCACCATTGTGGTGCCACACAGAAGAGTTTCAGTGCCCTAAAGTTCCTCTGTGTCCCACCTGCTCTTCCCCTTGCCATGCCTGAGAAACTTACTGTTATGAGCCTTATTGCTATGAATAGTGTTGGCAGCTCCCTTGCTCTATTAGTTTTGTTTCCAGTTGCTGTGATGCAGAAAAACTATGACAAAGGCAACTTAGAGGAGAAGGGGTTTATTTGAACTCACACCATTGCAGGGAAGTCAGGACAGCAGGAAATTTGAGCAGCTGGTCACTTCCACAGTCGAGAGCAGAGAAAAAGAATACATGTATGCCTGTGTTCAGCTCACCTTCTCCACTCCTGCGCAGCTCGGGCTCCCCTGCCTTGGGAGTGATGCTACCCACAGTGGGCAGGTCTTCCTCCTCAGTTACGTAGCCAAGATATTGCCTCACAGAAACATACCCTCAGGCTAGCCTGATCTGGGCTACCTCATTCAGATGCCCTCCTCAGGAGATTCTAGATTATGCCAAATTAACTAATTAAAATTAGTAACATTTGCTTTCTGGTGCTTGTCTTAATCTCATCTTCACCCTTTCCTATACTATTCTCGGCTCTTCTTTTAGTGAAGAAGTATAAGATACACAATACATATGTGTGTGTATATATGTGTGTGTATGTATTGTTAAGCCTATATTAGTATGTCATTATAACCCAAAATGTATGTATGCATTCATGTGAGTTTTTTTTTTAAAGAAAATTATTATACACACACTTCTAATTAAAACTTGCATAGGATTTTTACTTTTTCCACTCTGTACTTCATTATTTTATCTTGGACTGAAAATCTTAGTCCTAAAATACAAGCATAATTCCTTATTTGCGTTATTCTACGATATACTATGTTTTCAAATTAATAAACCATATGATAATAACAATATGGCCTCTGAATAAGGCTGTGGATGTTTTTAAAGTTTCCCTTATGTTTAGAGCACATTCTGCCAAGGATGCACCTTCAGAGTGTTTGCGTTTTGATCTCGCTTTGTGAGGCTGGTCTTGAACCCTCCAAGTACCTGGTGTTCCACATGCCTGCCACCCTGCACGCTCAGTTCTGTTGTGTTTGTTTTTTAAGATCATTTGAAGTAGCTATATAGATGTGTCACTCCTTGGTGCGATATGAAAGCGGTGCTGTGTGCGGAAGAGTTAGGCGGCGGGCCTGACTGTGGTGTCTCAGGGACTTGGAAGAACTCCCATAATTAACCAGTAAGAGGGGCCTGCTGTGAGGGGACCACACCAAGGACATGGCCTCCCAACTCTGCGGTTCTGCAGAAATGTTCATCCGTCAAGGCTGCTCGCTGCTCATTCATGTGGGCTGGAGTTCAGTTATCTCTGCCACCTGCAGAGGGCAGGGCTCACAGATGGCTGTAACTCTGTGATGTAGCTCCAAATTATGTGATGGCTTTTCGTCACCACAGGTGAACATGTGTGCCACATGCGTACACACTTACACACATACTACAATAATGAAAAAATACAAAAATTAGATAAAAATCCTCCAAGTTGAAAACAAAGTTAAAATGAATGAATACTAGGTTTCTGTGAGTCTTGAAATAATTGGTTTCTATCTGACTTGAGAAGACCTATTCTAGATCATTTGTCTGTCTGTGTGTGCACAATTGAAAAATTTTGTAAGCGGGACATTTAACAGGCACCGCCTCTGATGAGAGCCATCACCATAGTAAAAGGTTGGCATTTTCACTCAGTAATTCAGCAACCCTCACAGGCAGACTTCATATTATGATCACAGCATAGTATCTCATCTGTACAAATGTAATTCCTCAAGAATTCTAGCTGAAAGGGGAAAAACTGATCAAAATATATGAAATAATTAAATAATAACAAATAAAAATTAAAAAATCACAAAAACAACCAAAGTTCCAGATGAAGTTTGACCTTCTCCTGCAGATCATGAAAAGTGTGGTGAGGATTCCTCTCACCCACACGGACCACACAGAGTTACCAGGGGAAAGATACAGTTTTCGTGCTTGAACCACAGAAGACATAAGCCTCAGCTCAGCAGACTGCCTTCCAGGGTGCACAACTGAAAATGGCTGAGTGCTTGCTGGCTCAGGGTGCCCCAAAGGTCTCAGCCCATAGCTCCACCACTGTCCAGTACTGAGAAGTCGGCTGTTAGCAACATGTAATACCCACGAGCTGCAGTTCAACTGGAGAGATGGCGCAGAGGTTATAGAGCCCTGACTGCTCTTCCAGAGGTCCTGAGTTCAATTCCCAGAATCCCATGATGGCTCACAACCATCTGTAATGGGATCTGGTGCCCTCTTCTGGAGTGTAGGTGTACATGCAGACAGAACATTGTATACATAACTAATAAGCTTTAAAAAAAGAAAAACAAACACAAAAAAACAGGAAGGCCTTTAGGTTTAAAGGAGGTTAGAAGATGTTTTCATCAGAGCATGTTTTAACACCCCTTTCACAAAAACAAAACAAAACAAAAAAAAAACCAAATACAACCTTTATAGCATGTTTTACTATCATATAGATTTTTTTTTTCTATTGAATGCTCTTTTTATTTTCAGAGTATTACCAGGTCTTCTTGCTTATTTATTTTTCTGTTTGGACTTTGGAAAGAATATACCTAGCTCCAGAAAGCACGTTGATATTTTTATTGTGGTTGTGTTCAGTGTATAAACTAATCTGGTATGTGACAGCTAGATGTTGGGTCTGCCAGTTTAGCAGTATGTGTTTCCTTCATTTTCTTAAGGCCCCTTTCATGTCTTCTAGGACCTGTGTTTAAGTTCAGCTAGCACGGCGCTGCACATGCCCGCTTAAACTAATGTAGATTGTTTTGTGTTTTGGTTTTTTATACTCTTATAAATCCTCACTTTGCAATCCTTAATGATTACATGATAGATTTGATGTTGAATCCCGTCACGTGTTTATTGGCGATCACTCAGGCCAAGTAACCATCCTCAAACTGGAACAAGAAAACTGCACACTGCTCACGTCCTTCAGAGGGCACACAGGTAAGATCTGAGCAAGGCTGCCATCACCTGCAGCTTACTCTGGTGCTCACGCGTTTGAAGGTGAAGACAGAGAACAACCTGGGCATGGGCAAAACCACAGATGATACAGAAGCACTTAACTTGTTGTAAAATGGTTCAGTAGGAAATAACCTTTAAAAAGTTCCTCCATGAAGAGGGACCATTCTGTCTTAAGAATGTTAGGAGGTGGCTTTCATGTGGCTGTAGAGAAAGCCAGTGCTGACATGTTGGCAGGATGCTTGAGACCATGTCACAATGGTGCAAGGTCCCGAAGACTGAGAGGACACTTGTCCTGCTCACTCTTAAAGTAAGAAGACAGTGTGCAGGAAAGATTCCCACCTCCAAGACAGATGGAAAGGAAGCTGAACCATAAAAGAGGACAGACTCGTCTTTCTTATTGGGCCCTTAAATTTATAACCAAGGTGCGCTTTATAGCCAGTGTGCTCAGGATCATGTATGCAAGATATAGAATAATTATTCATAGCCCTGGAAAGACTTGCATTGATGGCAGGAGTTACTATTTTACTGCCATCTTTTGGGGTTGGATTGGTTCCAGAAAATGTTGACTTGGGGAAATGTGATACTGCCTATTTTTATGATTGTTGGGACTTGGTGTGTTTTTGGTTTTTGTTTGATGTTTGTTTTTTGTAAACAACTCATGATTTAGTGTGGAGCTAATACTCCATTTAGATGTCATAGAAAAATAAAAGTAGATGGGAAAGTATTTTTAATTAAATAGTGTCCATTTAGTGGTAAGGGATGTGCAGGGGTGGGGCAGTGAGAGGCCCGGAAGATGGCTCAGCACTTTGAGAGCACTCTGCTCTTGGAGAGGACACAAAAGTGCCTGTAACTCCAGATCCAGGGAATCTGACCTATGATTCTGAGCCCCTGTCCCTCCTTCCTTTACCACATGCTTCTCAGTGTGTTCTGTCTTCAACTGATAGCATTCTTCCTTGACCTTGGAGTATTAAGATTCAGACTGACTACCTACCATTTTCGCATGTGCAAACCAGGAGCCCCATCTGCTATTTACTCTTGAGATTTAGACCATCTACACCAAAAACGAGATTGGCCAGCTTACATGGACAGAGTGCCACTCAGGGAAGCTGTAGCTGCCTGAAATCCTCGGGGATGAGTAAATGTTCACTTCTTAGGGAAGGAGAGAGAGGGCATCCAGGAGTATGCACAGGATCCCGTCACAGCACAGGGATCCAAGAACCCATTCTGTGAACACTGGTACAGCTGCTCGCCCCTCTGAGCATGTACCTCTCTGTCTGAAGGAGGGGCAGACAAGGTGTGGCGCGGTAGCCGGAAAGAGAGCCACAGTCACTTCAGATCATCCCTAACTTACCTTGCCATCCTTGAGAAATCATTAATGAGTTTGAAGCCAAGAAACAGGCATCCAATTCTCTGGAGCTGAGTTGTAACATTCTGGTCTTCCGTAAAAGCAGCATGCACTCTTAATTGCCAAGCCATCTCCCCAGCTCCAAAACTGTCTCTTAAAATGGGGTATTGATGGGGGGTGGGGGAGTGGATAGATTCTGAATAAAATGTAGAATGTTGAAAATCATCCCAGTGGGGGCTAGTAGTATAACTCAGCAGGTGAAGTACTTGCCTAGCACAGGTGAGGCCTGGGTTTGATCCCAGGAACAAAGCATTGCAGGGAGAGTGTGCCTGATGACTAACAAGATTTGATTTAGGCAGCAGTAACCTCTTGACTCTTAAAAAGCTACTTGGGTCCCTTGAGTTCTTTGTTGTTATTACCAAGTCAGAAAGGGTGAGGAGGTGTTTGTGACCACCATGATGTTGGCTTGATATGGCTGAGAGTCCTAGTTTCTGCATTCCTGCTGTTATGTAAAATGTTACTTTGGTATTCGGTCTTAATCTTTGTCCTAGTTTAAAGCATTCTCATGTGATTTTTATCATGAAGCATCCTTGAGGCAGATGACATGGCTCAGGAAGGTTGTTAGCTCACATGAAGACAGATGTAGCAGTCGAGATGCTGCTTCTTGCAGAGAGGAGTTACGCCGATTGCCTGCGTCGAAGACACAGTGCAAGGGTTAGGCTCTTCCTATGTAGGAGGCCTCTTCTGTGCCTTGTGCAGTCCCAAGTTTAGCCAGATCCCATTCTTGGAAAAGAGTTCTTTGTAATGACTGAACAAAGATCAAAGCCAGATCCATTAGGGAGGAAGGTATCTCATCAGTCCAGACCTGACTCACAGACAGCTCCTCAGTGTTTGTGGATGGAGCCCTCGTCACTCGCCCTGACATTCTCCTTCATAGGGAGCCATGGCTATCTGCCCCATTGTTTTTTTTTTTTTTCCCCATTGGGCATTGTCCCATTGTTCCCTTTTATGGGGAGCCCTGGCCAGCACCCCCATCATGCATGCTCTCATGCTGTAGAAAGTTATAACAGAAATGTGGAGTAGTGAAAAAATCAGCCCACCAGCTACCCATTTTAATCAGTGGAGATTTAGGAAAGTAATTTTGTGTTTTAGCTCCCTCTGCTGATTTTTCTTTCTGGAGTGAAATGTCAAGTATCAGGATTCTTTTCTGAAGTAATTTCTCAATACACTCTTCTATTAAAAAGCTCTGAATTGAGCTGAACTAATCAGGAAAACCTATTTTGACCACTGTATGTTTGACTATCAGTAACATCTTCTTTATTTGTTTTGTAAGGTAAGGTCTTGTTGTGTAGCTCAGGCTGGTAGATGAGTGTAGCTCAGTCCTACACTCATAGAGAAGTGCCTGCCTCAACCTCCCAAGTGTGCTAAAATCACTAGTGTGAGCCACCACGCTCAGTCCAACATTTTTTTTTATTAACATGAACATAGGAGAAGCTGGAGAGTTTGAATGTCACATGTCAAAGCCTTCTAATCACAATTAAGCACAGCCTCATGTTTTCACTGGTGAAGAGAATCAAAAGGAGTATTGTGACTATTACAAAAGCAACCGAGCAAACCACAAAAGTCCTGTGCAGATATGCATCTTCAAAGAGCTACACTGAGAACTTTAACTTATGGTAAATGGACACTTGCAGTCATCTTTCCATGAAGTCTAACTCATGCACGTAGATTGCCACTGAGCTGTTCAGCATTAGCTTGCTCTCTGCGTGAATGGTGCCAGTGTGTGTGGACCAATAACACGTACATAGTCCTTACCATCACTCGCCTTCAGTCTGGCCTGGAAACACGTTGGGCTAACAATTGCAGGTAATTCATCCAGACGTTATGTGGGTGGACATGCTATGAAACACCTTGATGCCACCCATGGGCTGCTCGGAAGCAGTAAGAGAGTATTGTTTGTGCAAGAGAAAGCTTGCCAGAATGCTGGAGTTACTAGCAGTTAAAGGGGGAGAGAGGGCTGGAGAGGTGGCTCAGCAGCTAAGAACACTGGCTGCGCTTTCAGGGGCCCAGGTTTGATTCCCAGCACCCACATGGCAGCTCACAGCCATCTGTAACTCCATTTCCAGGAAATCTAATGCCATCTTCTGGCATTTGCAGGCACCAGGCATGTTCATGTGTATGTGCAGACAAAACATACACACATAAAACTAATACCATGCAGACAAAATACACATATACAATTAAACTTAATCGAGAGAGAAGGGAGAGCTTAAAGGGGTAGTTCACAAATCTTTATCACTTCAGCCTGGAATGAAACGTAGTGACTCTAATGATGTTTTATTTAAGAAGCACAGTGGTCTGAGCACTGACTCGGGCCCCCACTAGCTAATTATTGCCCTGCCCAACTCAGTGCTGAGGGTGAGGTACCACACTCTGAGGAAGTTATGCTGTCACTGGCAAAGAAAGACCCAGCATTTTCTCACTCCGAGTTCAGTTTTGCAAGGCTTTTGTACATGCCTTTAAAAAAAAAAAAAAGTTCACTGAGCATTTTGGTAATGGTATTAAATTTCTAAAAACATTTAGACTCTGACCTAGATCCACATTAGATATTCTTGTATATGTAACAATTAAAATGTGGCACAAGGGGGTGGAGTCACATCCAGGAGGCTAAGGCAGGGTAAACACTTAGGCAGTTAGAGGCCAGCATGAACAGCACACCAAGCCCTTTTTGACTAAAAGTTATAAGGGGAAGCCAGAGAGATGTCTACACAGCAGTTAAGCTTGCTGCTCTCATTAGAGGGCTGGAGTTGGGTTCCCAGCACCCACATTAAGAGACCCACCCATAACTCCACCCATAACTCCACCCCCAGGGGATCTGATGCCCTCTTGTGGCCTCTACAGGTACCCACATGAATGTACACATACATGCTCATACACATAAGTTTTAAAAGTTGAAAAAAACAACGAAAGAAATATGAATATGTATTGAAACGCTTATTTCAGCAGATTTATAATACTCTGCTAAAAAGGTAAAAGCCACCCAATATGCATACATGTTGTAAGATACTGCCCGGCCAGTGACGATTATTTTCTAAAATATGTATAACAGATTTGACCATTTTAATTCTTGTGCTGTTTTTGTATTTGTTCTGTGGTGATGGAGTTTGCACTGTGGGCCTTGTGCATGCTTAGCAGGTGTTTCAACGCTGTTTGCATCCCTGGCCATTTCATGCATTTTTAAGTATACAGATTTCTGTAGTTACCTAACTTTATAAAGAACCCCTCGTCCATTCAGTCTCTTTAGATGAGGAATCCTTTCAAACCATTCTTTCTCACAGTGCCCACAGCTGTTTAAGTCTGATGTGGTGCTTTAAGAATCTGAGCTAGTCACCTTTCGTATTTTATAGGAAAGGCCTGTCACCTCACCTTGTCTCCTTGAGTGCAGGGCCTTCTCTAGTGAATCAGGCCACTTCAGATTCCCGAGCATTCGATTCCAAAAAGCTCAATTGGGTGAAGGCGTCACATTAGCAGCACTGCTTACTGAGGAAACGGTGTCCTGGCCCTGCTTCATCTGCGAGGAGGAAGGCCAAGGCCAAGGACTTCCTGTTCTCATCATTCAGCTGCCTGTGCATAGTGAACATCTCACAAGCCAGGCAGAGCTGTTTCTGCTAGAGACACCAATGAACAAGCCGCAGCTCTGGCCTTCCAGAGCTTCCTGTCTGTGAAGCGATAGCCACTCTAGGGAAAGATAGTCTGTGAGTGATGAGAGTATTGGTGGGGAGGGGGTCACCTCTAACTAAGGACATGGGATTTAGGAAATGCTTGGCATGAATTGGAGGGGAAAAAAAGTTCTGTATTTTCACTCCTCTGCCCAGAGTCCTGCCCTGGCACTGTGCTTCGCTGCTGTCGAGGGAAGGTTGCGTTGGTAAGGGCACACATTGCGGGGGGAGTGAGGGTCAACGTGAACAGGAGAATGCAGTGCAGGAAGAGGAAGAGGCAATCAATGGGAGTTAGGGGCTTTCTGTGATCTGCAGAGTCTTCTGGGACAGTTAGGAAACTTGCGTAGACACCTCCAGGGCTTAAGACTTTATTAAACCAAATTGATCAGTTTTGAAATGTTAGCTTCCAATAAATAGGAAGCTACTTAATCTTCTCAGTATTTTAAATAATATTTAAAAAACTGAGTGTTTCTGAGATTCGTAGGTATTTGTTGGCTGAGTGCTCACTTCATATAGAAAAATTCTTTCTATTCTCAGTATTTGAGAAACTTGATTTATAAGAGGATTGGGGAGAAGAAACTGTTGTCATGCTGGGTAGCCATACCGCGGAGCGCCTCCATCACAGGCCTATGTAACTGACCCAGGCGGCTCTCCTCCAGGAATTGAGTGGTTGTAGTGACCAAAGTAGTTCCCTGTCATAGGTGAGGATGACTCTGGCTTCTTTCTGTTCTAAAACACTGGCTTAGGAGAAGAAGGTGTTTCCTTAGCTCATACTTCCAGATCACAGTTCATCATTGAGGAGAGTCGGAGCAGGAGCCCAAGCGTAAATCAGAAATTGGAGGAACGCTGCTTGCTGGCCTGCTCACTGGCTCATGCCTCACCAGTGGTTGTAGACCTCTCAGGGCCAGCTGCCTAGAGATGGGGTCACCCACCATTCACCCAGTCCCCTGCGTTCACAACCTGGAGCCTCCCACGCAGACATGCCCACAGGCCGGCTCAACCTAGACAGTCCCCTCTCAGGTGACTCTAGACTGTGCCAAGTTAACAGTGGAAGCTAAGTAGAACAAGGGTGCCAGCATTTAGGGTATAACTGATTCATAAAGAATTTGTAAACTCACATTCCCAAAGAGACTATTTCTACCTTGGATATTGACCTAATTATACCTGATATTAAAATATAAAAACAGACCACAGTATTCTCAAATAAAGATGTGCAAATAACCAGCAGTTCTATGGGAAAGTGCTCAGTATCACTAATCATCAAGAGACATCAAAAGCTCATCGCAGTGTCATCTCTGCAGGTAGCATGGTGTCCTGGCTAGTGTTGTGTCAGCGTCACACAAGCTGGAGCCCTCTGAAGGAGAAGCGGAGAAAACGCTCACATCAGACGGGCCTGTGGGCAAGCCTGTGCTGCCTTTTCTTGATTGATGATTAATATGGGAGTGGCCTGCTCATTGTGGGCAGCACCACCCCTGGGCTGGTGGCCTTGTGTACTGTAAGAAAGGAGGCTGACTGAGAAAGCCATGAGGAGCAAGCCAGTGAGCAGCACCCCTCCATGGCTTCTGCTTCCCTTTCTGCTTCCAGGTCCCTGCCCTGCTTGAGTTCCTGCCCTAACTCCCTCAGTGACAGACTGTTAGCTGGAAGTGGAGGATGATAGAAACCCTCCCTTCTGCATTGCTTTAGGTCATGGTCATGGTGGTGTATCACAGCAACAGAATCTCCAGCTGAAACAAATGGTATTGATAGACAGTGGCAAGTGGGGCAGAGGTGTTGGAAACGTGCTGCACACTGGCGGGAGAATTGTCAATTTTTTTTTTTTTTTTTTAGAATTGTCAATTCTTTATAGAAGACATTCATATAGAACCCTACAAAGAATTGTAAATCCTTTATGAAATGCACCTTACGGAAGGCATTATGGAGGGTCTTTAGAAAATTAAAGCTAAACTTGTAGGCCCGGTGGCACATGCTTGTAATCCTAGAATTCAGGAGACAGAGTCAGGAGGATCACCAAAAGATTGAGGACAGGTTAGGCTACATAGTGACACCCTGTCTCAAAACAAATAAATACAAAATAAAATTCTACATTATCCAGCTGCTAAGGTTATAGTCAAAGAAAACGGAATCTGTATGTCAGAGATTGCTGCCCCCTGGTAGGATTCCTCACAACTCACATAACTAAGACATGGGAACAGACAACCTAACATATTATGAATGGAAAAAGGAAATGTTTTGTGCAAACACACATAACGTGCCATAAACGTAGATGAAATTTGTCAACCACATTGGATGGGCTAGAGGACATTATGTTAAGTGAAGTAAGCCAGACACACAAAGAAGTACCACTCGGGGGCTGGAGAGATGGCTCAGCAGTTAAGAGCACTGGCTGCTTTTCCATAGGACCTGAGTTCAATTCCCAGCACCCATATGGCAGCTCACAAGTGCCTGTAACCCCTGCTCCAGGGTATATGACACGCTCATACAGAAACACATACAGGCAAAACAGCAATGTACATAAAAATAAGTTAAAAAAAAAAAAAACCTGGCTGTAAATTAGGCTCTAATCTTCAAACAAAAAAGCAGCAGCAACAACAACAAAAAGAAGCGCCACACCACTTCACATGGAATTTTAAGAAGTTGGCCTCTTAGAAGTAGTGGACACAGCAGTGGTGCCCATTTGGGCAATGGGCAATCAGTTGTAGTTAAAAAGATTAAACTCTGGTGTTTTGTTGCACGGAAGGGAACTTATTAGCAGAATGGCACTGTATATCTCCCAAGTGGCTGGACAGGATTTCGAATACTCTCTGATGAATGTATGATGAGATGAATACGCCAACTATGCCTTTGGTTTGCCTTTTATATGATGCATACCTGAAGTAAAACATCACACTGTACCCCACAAGTATGAGTGTGTTAAGAAAGGAAGAGATCTGAGTGAGCGTTTCAGTTCTCATTTTCTTCTCATTTGTTATTGTCAGGACAAAGAGCAGGTAGTAGCTAAGAAAGTGTGGTTAATACCTCCAAATAGTGTGCTGGTTCCATTCTCAGAATTACACCAGTGAATTGTCCTCTGTTGTTTATAGTTGAGGTTTTTATTTTTTATTTGGGAGAGCAATATTTCTTTTGGGGGGTGTTCTCACCCACTCATTTAACAAATACTTACTTAATTCAGGGACTGTGTGGGTCCTGTCCCATCAAGTTCCCTTTTTGTGGCGAGGATATTGTTCTGTGACTAACACCTGCTTTGTGCCTGTTCTCTTAGGAGGAGTGACAGCACTCTGCTGGGACCCGGTCCAGCGCGTGCTGTTCTCAGGCAGTTCCGATCACTCTGTCATCATGTGGGACATCGGTGGGAGAAAAGGGACAGCCATCGAGCTCCAAGGACACAAGTAAGGCTGCTGCTGGTGCTCTGACTAGCATGGTATTTCCTGTGTAACCCTGACTGTTCTCAACCTCATGGACGTCCCCGCCTCCAGCTCTTGAATGCCAAGGTTACGGGTATGTGCCACTATACCAGCTGGCACTCTGAGCTCTAGATCTTTTCCCATTCTTAGGTACTCAATAGAATACCCATTGTTTCCTGACCGGCCCCATGACCGTCTTTCCCCTAATAGTGTTTTCTTAGATCCAAAACTTGCGGGTGACGTAATGCACTTTGATTTTAAGCAGTAGGGAGCGTCTGCTGCCGTTTTGTCGGGATCCACAACAGACTGCAGCAGAAGGGTAGGGCACTGAAGCTGATCTCAGCCAGCATTCTTAGGCCCACACAACTCATGCACTTCTCCTTCCCAAAACGCTAACTCTTAGTTTCCTTCCTGTTTCTCCCACCATATGTAAGATTTTCCTTATGAGTGTCCTTATTTGGGAGGTCAGTGTGGTCTGACATGGTGGAACTTTCCAATAATCCCAGCCCATGGAAGATAGAGGCAAAGGAAAAGGTTTAAGGCCATCTGCAGCCAGCCCAGGCTACTTGAGATCCCACTCAGAAAAGCAAATAAGTGAATGAACGAATCCTTTGGTAAAGAAATGGCCTATTTGTAAATAAATGTGCACTGGGAGGCAAATTGCATCTGACGCTATGAAAGGAGGAGAGTTCTCACTCTCCTTCCGTGTTGGAGGGCAGTGAAGGCAGGGGCAGCCTGCATAGAGCTTCCTTTAAGTCCCTGCCTAAGGGCAGTGCTAGGGAACGTCAGAAGAAGGGGCAGTCTTCCATTTCTAGTTACTGACTAAACACATAATAGGCTAAAATCTTATCTGTTAGAGGTGTTTTGGAGGGTGGAGTCCTCTTGTACAAAGCAGGGCTGTGTTTATCAGTTAGCATTCAGGCTGAGGCTGAGAGTACTGGGTACTCTTCTGGAGGACCTGGGTTCAGTCTCCCCACCCACTTAGTGGCTCAAGCCAGCTGTAACTTTTTTTTTTAGTTATTTTATTTTATTTTTTGTATTAATTACACTTTATTCACTTTGTATCATCCCATAAACCCCTCCTTCCTCCCCTCCTAATCCCTCCTCCTTCTTCACGCATGCCCCTCCCGAAGTCCACTGATAGGGAAGGTCCCCTCTCCTTTCTTCTGATCCTAGTCTATCAGATCTTGTCAGGAGTGGCTGCATTGTCATCTTCTGTGGCCTGGTAAGGCTGTCCCCCCCCTCAGGAAGAGGTGATCAAAGAGTAGACCAATCAGTTCATGTCAGAGACAGTCCCTGTCCCCATTACTATGGAACCCACTAGGAGACTGAACTGTCATGGGCTACACCTGTGCAGGGGTTCTGGGTAATCTCCTTGCATGCTACGTGGTTGGACTATCATCCTCAGGAAAGACCCATGTACCCAGATTTTTTGGATCTGTTGCTCTCCTTGTGGAGCTCCTGTCCTCTCCAGGTCTTACTAAATGCCACTTTTTTTCATAAGATTCCCTGCAATTTCCTCAAAGGTTGGCCATAAGTCTCAGCATCTGCTTTGATAGTCTGGAGGGCAGAGCCTTTCAGAGGCCCTCTGTAGCAGGCTCCTAACTTGTTCCCTGTTTCCTCCTTCTTCTGATGTCCATTCTCTTTGCCTTTCTGGATGGGGGCCATCTGTAACTTTAATTCCAGATCTGGCATCCTCTCCTGGCCTCTGCAAGCACCAGGCACTCAAGTGGTACACAGAAATGCATACAGGTGAAGCATAACCATAAGATAAAGATGAAAAAGTATACACACACAGACATTCATTCCAGGGGGGTTTGACCTGTGTTGTCACAGAAGGCCTCATTCTTTGAAGGGCTCACTTTTGTTTTTATGTTCTGCTGTTGCTGGCTTCTCATTCTTAATGAATTTTGACAGGGGGCCAACCCTGAATCTCCATTGCACTGGTGCTATCAGGGTACATGGCTGGGCCTGATAGGACATGTTTCCTCTAGAACCCTAAGAAGCATGAGGCCGTCCCACTGAGTGCGGTAGTCACAGGAGGCAGATCTCGCTCGGGAGATCTGCAGGGGTTTTCTGTCCTCCTCGGGACACGCACAGTGTGTATGTGGAGGGTCCCCATCTGCAAAGTGGTATAACTGCTGCTGTGACCGTAGATGAGACATGAAGATAAGATGTCTCTCATTCCCCCACCTAGATTTTAACTGGGAAGGAGTTAAATTTCCAATCCTAAGTCAGGAAATCTCCAAGCAGATTTTTATAAAGCCTGAGGCCTGTCATTCATTACTAGTTCACTCTCCTGTACTGGAAGATTAACAGTCCTGAGGCCTCGGAACAGAGTTGTCCTGTGCTGCCCCCAGCTGTGAAGGGTGAAGTGCTTTCTTCCGAACTCTTTGGCTTTACAAGATCATCGATGTATGTATCCGGATGCCTTAGCACAGTGGTCCTCAACCTGTGGGTCAAAAGCCCCGTGAGGGTCAAACAACCCTTTCACAGGGGTCACCTCAGACCATCAGAAAACGCAGTTATTTACATTACATTTAATAATGTAGCAGAATTACAGTTATGAAGTGGCAATGAAGATAATCTTACGGCTGGAGGTCACCACACACGAGGAGCTGTGTTAAAGGGTTATGGCATTAGGAAGGTTGAAAACCACTGCCTTAACAAATAAATGTAGTTCAGTCATAGTTACAAGTCTGCCCAGCTGGGTAGAGGATAGATTCCTCGTCTTGCCTTTGAGTGTCAGAAGGGAGGCACTCCATACTTTTAAAAGCATGACTTTTTGAATGAATGAATGAATGAATGAATGAATGAATGAATGAATGAATGAATGAATGTGAGTGGCTTTATATTAGTCATTAGTTAATAAAAGAAGTGCTTAGATGTTTCTAGTCCATAGGAAAACCTATACATAAGCAGTAGAAAGTGCTAAAGTGAGGGCTGGGGAAGCAGCTCTGTCAGTGGAACGCAGGCCACACAAACACAAGGGCCTGAGTCTGATCACAAGGACTGTTAAAAAGCAGGGGATGCTAGTGTGTTCTTGTAATCACAGTGCTGGTGAGGCAGAGAGAGATGGATGGGCGTTGCTGCCCAGCCAGTGAGGCCTTAAATTATGAAAAAAAAAAAAAGTGGGAGACTTTGTAGCCCTGATACCCAATATTGATCTGTGGCCTCGCCCTGCGTGTGCACACCCCTCCCGGAGCTGCAGACACACAGAATGCTGAAGCGAGTGCGCGCCTGGGTACACAGCTAGCTTCCTCGTGGCTTGGGTGGGGACTGGCATCGGTGGTATCCTCACTAGGCAAGTTTTGGTACCGTCAGTTTTGTACGATAGCGGTCAGATGTGTCCTATTAATACAGACCCCGTGGAACCAAACAACCCAGAAAAGTGTGCGGGCTCGCAGCTGACACTGCGTGAAAATAGACCGCGTCACTTCATTTTGCCATTTCAAGTGTGTCAGTCTGACTGACAGTTCGTCTTCCTAACTCTGTGACCATAATAATTTATAAAACTCACAAAGATTTGGTTTGTTTGCTTGGTTTTTGTTTTTTTTTTTTAAATTGCTTTTATTTGCTTTTAGAAAGTCTTGCTGTGTAGCCCAGTTCAGCCTTGCACTCTGGATCTTCTTTCCTAAGTCTTTCTAGTGCTAGGATTACACGTGTCGCGCAGCTCCTGGCTGTGAAGACTTTTGGTCACAAGAAAGGCAGGAAGAAAGGCTAGCCAGCTCCATAAAACGTGGCCTAACTGTGACTGTTTCTGCAGTGAGTGCCAGCCAACCACACTTTCCTTCTCAGCCTTGCTCCACCTACCTGGAGTCCCACAGCACTCTGTTCACACCCAAAATAATAACTTCTGCTGGGCATCTTATTTTGTTTTTTTCCTGAGCCTGTTACTTGCTTTGCCAAGGCTCGGAAACCAAGCCTAGAGAATTCCTCCCCTAAGGCATCTTCATTGATAAATCCTTGTTGTCCAGCTCCCCTAAGTTCCTAGTGGACTATACTTCTTCATACCTCTCTAGTCCTGACCCCTTCTCCTGTGAGGGCTGTATAGACCTGGGCTTAATAAACTCTTAAAGTGACAAGGCACTTTTGATTCAGTGAGCATCATTCTTAAATATGAAAGAGGCTTGGTTGTGCAGTTGCTTTATTGGATTATATCTTGTGGGTGGGATTGGGGGTTGTGTTCCCAGCAGTGTATGTGGAGATAAAAGCTTGATATTGGGTGTCATCCTCATTTTTTTTTTAAAGACTGCGTCTTTTACTGAAGCCTGAGTTCACTGATTCGGCTAGGCTGAATGGCCAGAGAGCCCTGGGATCCACCTGTCTCTGTCTCCCCAGCCCTGGGAAGCATACTTAGCTTCTTATGTGGGTCTTTGGGACCCAAACTCAAGTCCGCATATTTGTGTGGTAAGAATGTCACTGATTGACCAATCTCCCCATTCCCTGTAGATCGATTGTTGTAGAGCCCATTGAGTAACTGTATTATGAAAATTAAGGGACACCTTAACAGCTTGAAGTTGTAGACAGTGTGAGATTGGCTATTTTTAAAAGTTTTTATTTTATTTAGATTATAAAAGGAGAACTTGCTAGGTTTTAGGTTAAACATGGCTTAAAGGAAGAGGAAAGACATCACTCTGTATCCAGGAAATAAAATGTTAAAACATCAGCAGGATTACAGACAACATATCCATAGTTTGGTTCATTTTGTTCTATGAGTAAGCTGTAAGGCTTGTTCTGTTGGATCCTGGCTTAAGGATTCCTGTTCGTGATGGCATCTGTAATCAGAACAAAGTGAGTTCCTGTAATTTCAGGGAATCTTGATTAATCCACTGCACAGTTGAAACACTGTCTAAGCAATGTGATGACACCCAGTGGCCTGTGACCGAGGGTCTGTTCATCTCAGCGTCACTGTTCTCAAATACTGGGGGATGCCATTTTGTTCTGGAAGCTCGGAAGCCATCAGAGGGACACAAAGGATACGTGTAGCCTATAGAGATTTAAGGCCTTCATGACTAATATGTCAAATGGTCTCACAAAGTAACCCAGGCTGCCTTGGAGCTTGAGATTGCCCATCCCAGCCACAAATTCATGACAGTTTTTCTGCCTCCACCTCCCAGGGACAGAATTACCAGTGTGAGCCGCTACACCTGGATCTTTCGTTTGTTTGTTTTCTTTTTGCGATGTTAGGTTTTGAATCTAGAGCCTTATGTGTACCAGCAGCATTCTGCTACTGTCCCCAGCACAGACCTGATTCTGCCAATAAATAGTAACACATGTAATACAGTTGTAGGCAGCATCTCTTTCTAACGGGAGGGAGCAGACCTTACCGTTTTCTGGGACCTCTCTGGGAAGTCTGTTGAGAGTCTTGTCACAAAACATCTTGAAGGTTATATTTTTTTTCTGAATAGTGACTCAGTGTGAAAAGTCAAAATCAGCTGTGCTGCTGAGTCCAGGGGAACCAGCCACAATAGGAACACTGGCTCTCTACGCAAAGGACTAAAGAACACTTTAACATAAATACAGACCACAACACCATTTTAAGGGATGGAGCTTTTCCCCCAAGTGAGTGTCCTTCATCTTTCTCTCTTCTTAAAAAAAAAAAAAAAAAAAGGGACGTTAGTCAAGTTAATATAAAGAACCAAACCAAATTCTGAAGACAGACTCTGTCAGCTAGGCAGTTCCCCAGAAGGTAGAGAGTATCTTCTCACACTGTGGTCAAAGGCAGTCATCCGTGCATCGAAGAAGCAGCTGCAGCTGAGGAACATGGCCAGCCCTGGAATGCTGCTCTGGACTTGTTTCAGAGACCGTAACCCAGAACCAACGACCTCCTTCCAAGTCCACCCCTCATTCTGGGACCATTTGGCATTCTTTTCCTCACCGAAAGTGTATGGGGTTTCCCAGGCTAAACACTGAGTGGTGTTAATGAATGCTGGAGACTGGACATCTGTGTCCCACTAAGGCCAGACAGTGGGAGAACTTTCAAGAACATCAAACAGTGGGTTTTTCTCTCCATGATTTTCCTGGTTTGGAAAATTATTTTTCCCACATAATATGTCGAATGTCCAAGTGGAATGGATTCCTCATTGCGGTTTTCAAATGAATCTGTTTTATTCTTGTTTTGGTTTTTAAATACAGTAAATATTTTACCAGTGTTTTAAATCAGGGTTCTTTGGTTTCCTCAAGTATGTTGAAAATAAAGTAAGGACAGGGCCTTCGACAGTGGCCTTTCATCCCAGCACATCTGTCTCCCTAGTGCTGAAATAATAAATCTGCAATTACCACAACTGGCGCCAGCTGACAGTCTTAATTACTCATTTTAATTGTAGTAATTACCAAGGTAACTAATTGATATTTCATGGAGAAAATCAGGAGGAGGGGGGATAGAGACAATTGGGAACTGCCTTATTCTACAAGCGTCTTAGAGACCACCAAAGCAAATGCACAAACACTTCCCCTGTGACACGTAAATCCACTTAGGGGGAACTATCAATCACTTATAACCAGGTCGGCAATCGTCTCCTATGTGAGTGTTGGTAACTCACTAAAAGTACTTTCTCCTGGACCTGCGAAGGCTGAAGCAGCATTTAAGCTCATTTTAGGTCTGACCGTTAGCATGTTGAAGAGGCTGTGAAGATTCCTAGCTCCTCCTTGGTTGCTAAGGTTCAGGTGTTGTCTGCCATCGGTGGGCTCTGTGATGTGGAGCCTGTTCTTGCTCTCTGGAACCAACTCTTGGTCTCTTTAACAGTGACAAGGTCCAGGCCCTCTCCTATGCACAGCACACAAGGCAGCTCATCTCGTGTGGCGGGGACGGTGGCATTGTCGTCTGGAACATGGATGTGGAAAGGCAGGAGGTAGGTGAGGCCGGCAGGTCTGATTCTGCTCCCCTCCTGATTAAGCCGTGATATAAGATACATTGTGTCATAAGTGAGAAAACTCCCAAGGCATAACTGCCCTGAGTTTGGTTTTAATGGAGATACATACTCTTCCTCCTCCTCCTTCTTTCTTCTTCTTCCTCTTCTTTCTCCTTCTCCTCCTCTTCTTCTTTTTTTTTTTTAAAAAAAAAAAAAAAAAACAAGACAGAGTTTCCCCGTGTGGCCCTGGCTGCCCAGGACTCCCTCTGTAGGCCAGACTGGCCTCAAACTCACAGCTGCCCCTGCTCTCCAGTGCACGAGTTTGCCACCCCACCGGCTGATACTTCATCTTAAGCACAGATTTAACTTTTACCACGGCACCTTTTAAACTAGTTTTGTTTTTTAATCTATAAGCATTTTAACAACTAATATGCTTACTGAATATTCCCTGGACAAATATTTTGAAGTTAGCCATTTTCTGTTGACCTAGAATCATTCTGGGCAAATGTTCTGGTTGACAGTCAACACTCTTGAAATTTATTCCTTGTCGGATGTGAGAATTAAAGAGAAAAGGCACACTTTTTAACGACAAACGTAATTTCACCGGTCATTTTTTTTTTCCATCCCCTCACTCAGTCTCAGACCAAGAGAGCCCCCAGTGTTAGCCACAATGCAGTGCCCTCAGATGCCAGTAATTAAATGCTTAGGAAGATTGCAGCTTTATTTTTCGGAGCCATTCATCCACAGGAGTTCTATTAGTAACTAATTAAAACGGTCGTTACTGGTAGAAAGCCGGGAAATCTAGAATATTGCTTTTGAAAACTACAGTTGGCACCATCCGTATGCTGGCTGGGATCATTACGACCCATGCTAGTCATGTTAAGCAGCCTGCCCTAGAACTGGGGGTTGTCCTGATGTGCTTTGAGTTAGGACAGTCAGGCCTAATGCAGGCCTGGCTTTGGGGGGCTTTTTGAAATGGAAGAACAGCCCAGAGAAATATAATGTTGTTGTTTCCAAAGATGAAAGTAAGCATTTGGGAGCCAGCTTTGGGCCATTTTGACATGCATATATATGAACATTCAGTACATGTCAATGGGTTTAAGATCTTGTTGATTGGCAGCTCTGATGAGCAGTGGGAATGGTTCCATCCATCTTTTGCAAACCCCATACTTTATAAGCATCAGGGAACTGTTTCCTTCGTACAGCAGAGGCTGCAGGAAACTAAGAGTAGCAAGGTTTGTTCTAACCTGATTGCTGACAGCCTTTCTAGAAAGTTGAGAGTACTATTAAGTGGTATCAATAATGACATCACAGCCAACACTGGGAACACAGAAGGTCGGCGGTAGGTGTTTCGGAAGGGGTGTTATGACTAGCTGCCACGGAAGGGTTCAGTGGGGCTCACACAGGCTATCACTGCAAGGTTTGTGGGCGTTTCAGGCTGAGAAAAACCAGGCGTAAGAGCAGGGTGAGTGGGAGAGGTTGCTGTGTTGTCAGTGCTAATGGGAAGTTGGCAGCAGTCAGGGTTAGGAGGTGCAGATGGAAGACAGTTTGGGGCAGGTGAGGGGGCACGCTGCATGGCTGGGTACAGGTCAGCGCGACACTGTGTCTGTCTGTGCGGCTAGAGAAGGTGTTGCCTACATCTAGTTCAAAAACACTCCTTTACAAATAGAAAACAGGTCTGTCAGCCGTGACACCCCCATTGAGAAATCCCATACTTCCAAAAATCTATAACTTCACAAAACCTCTCCACGTGGGCA